GGCTCTTCCCGCCTCCCCACGGCCCCCTCCCCCGGCAGTCGTCTCTGGCGAAGGAACGGGTCGAGCTTTTCCTTCAGAATTTGTGTTGACATAAGAATTTTGAAGACTTTAGTCCTCCTGATTGGGGCTCGAGAAATTTTTTTTTTTTTTCAATCTGGTACTTCTCTTGTCGCTCTGGGCGCAGTGTGTGTGCCCTGTGGGGTGGGGACTGCCGTTCTTAGACGTTCCCATCTCACTTTGGAGGTGTTTGATAGCAAGGATAATACAAAGATTCCCATTTCTGTGTTAACTGGAAGAGATTGGGTTCCTATGAATGAGTGAGAGTGGATTACTAATCATGCAACTCTTTCTTTCTCATGCATTTGTGTACTTTTTTTTCTTTCTGGTAGCCTTTAAAGTCTTTGCAGCAGAGTACCGCTTTTTAGCATGTGGTCTAGAAAAGTGAAGTTTGCCTGGATCTGATGTTCTGTCACAACACGAATACGGGGCTGGCCAGTGCTGCTGGGTGGAGATGGGTTCCTCAAGAAGATGAAAGGCCTTTAGTCAGAGCACAATACCCACTTATGAAATTAATCCTCTAAGTGCTTGGAACTGATGTCTCAGGGTGTGGTTTTTACGAGTGTGGTGAGCCCTGTCCTTTTACCTCTCAAGCTGAAAGCAACTGAGAGCAAACCTGTCTGAGAGCAACTGAAACTCAGTGAGCTGGAGTTCCTGCTTCCTCCTCCTATTCCTACTCTTTCTCCTTGCTCATCTCTTTGCGCTGTTGCTTACCATTGCCTCCTCCAGCATTTGTCTTCGCCCCTATGCTCCAAATGCTGGAGCAGCAGAACCGTGGCAACATAAAAATACTTTTCTGCAGTTTTAATGCGTTAAAAAGTCAATCAATAGCTAAAAGGGAGGGGGAAGCCAAGCAGCGGGGGAGCAGGGAGAGTGGTAGAGGAGTGAGTCACCAGATAGGTTCAGCTCTTTGTGAAGCTGTACCCCAGGGTTTTGTTTGCAATGAAAACCTGCTTGCAGAAGGTGAAGGGCTTGTCTCCTGGGCTTACCTGTGCCTGGGCAACTCCTCCTCTCCCAGCTGCTTCTGACGTTCATGTGGCAAAGTAAGCTGATTCAACTTTTCAGCCTGTCCAGGAAAATCTGTCTTTGGAAGGGAGGAGATATAGTTGTTTGGCAGTTTTTGTGATCTGAAGTGCTTTACTTTGTAATCAGAGAAGCACCTGAGCTTCTGGTAGGTGAGGGTGGGAGTACACAGTTGGGAAGCAGGGGACCTCTTACAGCAGCAATGTGCTTCAGCTTGAGCTTGGTGGTCCTTGGTGTTTCCCAGCATCTGCTTTTGCATTAGAATCTAATAGTTGCCTAATCGTATGAAAATAAGTCTTCAAATTTTCAGTGTCTCTCCTTTGTACTGGAAATAAGAAGGGAATTTCTTCTGTTTTCAAGCCTTCTCAGGAGCTCACAGCATATGATACAGTCCAAACGTTCCAGCTCTGCTAGTTAATACTGCCATTATGATAAAACTGTTCTTTACCTAAGAAGAGATCTTGATGAATACTTTGCTACCTAAGGGTTTCCTAATGGTTGCCAGGAGGATTTAGAAGACCATAGTGATACTCTTTCATCTGTATCTTGACAAGGCAGCTAGCCAGAGGAGGTGCCTGCGCTGTCTGCAGACTACTCCTAAGTAATCCAGTCCAGTTTATATTTGGTACATTTTCTTTCAGCCAAATGGAGAAGTAACAGTAGCACTGGAAAGGAAGGTTATGTTCTGCAGTGATGCTGGCTTTGGGAAGATTCCTTAGCTCATTGTGTTCCCTTTCTGTTGCTCTGTGGCTTTCTGCTGTTGTCTTTATACTTGATTGTTTATCACATCTCACCTTTCAAGTGTGTGTATGCTTATTTTATGTTTTCATATGTCTCTGTCCAGTTTTGTTGCAGTAGTGCTTTTCAACAGCTCTGAACCCCAGTGTATTCAAGCTCTAAACCCCAGTGTATTCAAGCTCTAAGACATATCACAAGCTAGGCATGTTTTCCTTCTTATTACAAAGCAAAAGCCTCAAAAAATTCTGCCTTGGAATCTAATAGTAATTATTTATAAAAAATGGTGATTTTTCTTTCTCACTTAAGTGTTTGTTAAACTGTTTATGTCAGAACACTTGATTACCTGAAGAAGTACTTTGTGGTACTCAGGTGAAATATCTTTTTGCATATAACTATCATTTTTGTAATTTTACTTGCTGGTTAGTGATGTTAAGGAGAAAGAGCAGAAAGTAAGTAGTCTCACTACAGTAGAAGTGGGAAGGTGTAGTGGTAGTGAACACTAATCACATCTGTTACGGTAGTACATCTCTCCCCTCGCAGTTCTTAAAAACCCAAATTAATTCCCTTAGTGGGTTCAAAGTGCAGCTCTGTGAGGAGTTGACGAGGGACAGCCTGAGGAGGCCATACACTGCACCCGAGGGACAGCAGTGACTGTGCAGGTACAGGGGAACAGGAACGGCAGTTCCTGGGAACAGCAGTTCCGGGGAACAGGAACTCAAGTTGGTTTTGCATCTCTTCCTCCTAATCTTTGGGCAGATCTCCTGGTCTCTTAGTAGTCTTTTCACTAAGAAGAGTTGGACTGCCCACCCATCAGGTATTTATGCAAATTGGTAAGATTTCTCTGGAGCCATCTTTGTCTCATATGTTGGATGCTTCAACCTCTTAATCGTCTTTATGGCCAATTGAAAAAGAAGCTATTTTTATTAGGAAAAAACATATCCATTCTAATATATACATTATTTCTGGTATTAATGTAGAACATGCATGAAGGAGGCAAATATTGTACTAACTTGCATATTGCAGAAGATAAAAAGTATAAAGAAAGTGCAGGCTAAGAAGACCCTGCCTCTTTTCCATATTACCTGACATTTTCGTTACAGAAAATAATGTCTTAACTGAAATTTATTGGGACAATATACGCTTTTGAAATACTAAAGTTGTTAGCTGTGCCTGAGTAAAGTAAAACAAAGATGCATAAAAGCTGAGAGTTGGATGAGGGCTTTTTCGAGATCACTCAGTTAATTGAAGAATGCTTCTTAAGTATTTGAATTTATTGTATAGATATATAAACTGTGGTGTAGTTTTATGATGTAGACAGCCTGCTGTTTCCTTTGGCTGATCTCTTTCTGCCATCAAACTTGGGTTGCATGCCTGTATTGGAAGGCAAGATTTCTTTAAAATCAAAATTTATACTTATGTCAGGTGCAAGTTGAGAGTGTAATCTGAGGATTGTTGTGTAATTGAATAAAACTTGTGGAAGCAGGAGGACAGTTAAACTGTTTCTGAGTATTAGGGTCCTTTTTCTTCATTGCTAGTCTTTCTGTTCCAGAGCTGCCAGACTGGAGTAACTCAATGGATAGCAGCATGCAGTGGATTATTACAGACAACCACAGTCCAAGGCCAATGTAGACAGATGCTCTACGGTATTTTCCAGGTGGGATATCAGCATATGTTAAAGTATGTAAAAAATGGGATAAGTTTAAATTAGTAAGAAAAAGTCATGGGTTCTAAATAAAGAAGCTTCCAAAAGTGATGTCTTCACTGTCTGTGTATTGCTGAAATATCAAGTCAATTTAAAAGCTTTCTGCTGCTAAAAGGGTGATCTCCCACTCTTTGTTACACAGTTGTCTTCATTCCAGCTGTGTAGTCTTGTAAAGGATCCAAATGATCTGTTGCGAGTAGATTAAATGCAGAAGTCCAAATGCAGGTGTCGTTTTCCAAAGCAGGTATTACAAGCTAGTCACGATTGCGTGTAATTTCCAGCACTTTATTTCCTAGAACGACTCCACTGTAGAGTAGCCTTGGAGTTTCTAGTACCACTGGTATGTTTACCAGGCACAGCACAACATTCAGTAGTGTTTCAATGGAAAGCACTGTTTTGCAGTTTTGCTTACAGTTCTGTAATGGCATGCATAGTGTCAGATTGTGTCTATCCATAGTAAATTAACTAGAACATCATGTAATAGCAGTTAATAAAGAGGTGAAAAATGTGTAGAAAATGGGAATTGATGCAGGCTGTCTGAACACAATTAGAGTATATCTTTTGATGTTTCCTTCTTGCATACAACGAAATGAGAGATTAAGCCTCTTTGTCCTCCTCTATATCACAACTTGTATCGCAGAGCCATGACTTACAGAATTAGCAACCTACCTGTAAGCTCTTTGGCTTGGATGTCTTTTCTCAGATAAGAGCTTCCAGTCCTGGGAAAATTGCCCGTGCTTTTGTGGCACAACCATACTGTTAAAGCACCAGTCCATATCAAGTAGCATATGATGTTGGGAGTAGAGAGGGAAATGAGCAGTTGTGAAGTTGATTGATAAAGTTGGGCCTACTCTGAGCCACAAGTAGCCACAAGACTTCTGGGGATGACTACTCTGAACAAACCAGCATATTTACTTGTTTGAATTTATTCATAAACAAGGTACTGCTAATCTGGGTGTGCTGGGAGGCTCTGATAGGTGTTCTGTTCAGCGTGCAGCTTCTTACCTGGAGATCCTGCACACTCCTACTTGATATTTTGCTTTTTTTTGTGCAGTAGCTCTGTAACACAAATCATGTGCTGTGAAGTTATAGTGGTTGTAGTGATAGCTTTTACCCTGTAATTTGTTTTGCTCGAATCCTGGCCACAAAGACAGTTGAACGGACTATAAAGTCGTGGATAAAAATAGCATAAACCATTTCTGTGCAAGGCCAGGAAAAAGAATTATTCTTTATTAAGAGACAAACCCCATAATTAGAAGTAGTGTGTGAGAAAATCAAAGCAGATGGGCTGTGAGTGTTCTGCCTGTCCTTCCCATCAGTACATTTACAGAACACTAGAAAATACATGGTGTGGAGTGTTAAGCATGGACAACCGTTCGTTTGTAAATTACGATAACACATGTGCTTTTTGTGATATAAAGGTTTTCAGGATTATGCTGAACTGTAATTGACTTGGAAACAAACTGAGAGTAATTGGTGTAAAGTTAAGTGTTTACTAGTCAATGATCTCTTCATTTTTTAATTTTCTTTTATTTTCTTCTATCATTTTTACTAGAGACACAAGGCTGGCCAGTTCCGACTGTCTAAATCCTGTGGTGGATTGATTCCAGCCAATGGAGCCATTACACAGCAAAACAGATCGTTTTACACTACAAATAAGGTTAGAAGTGTTTGGTGTTTTTATTGTCGAAAGGCATGCTGTGCTAGGGATTATACAGATACAGGTAACAAAACACTTCTCAAAACGTGTAGGAGATGACTCAACTTCTATATAAAATGTTTTAGTGTAGTGTGAACAATAGGTCCAATGATTTGAGAAGTGCTCTCTGATCCTTTCCAGGAAATGAAGTGCTAGCACAGGGAGGTGTGGTTACAGTTGGGTTATCTGGGGTGAAGGTTCCACTAAGCCTCAGGACTTCTTTCCAATGAGGAAAGAAACTAAGTTAAGGAGAGTGATTATTGGGGTGGGGGGCAGATGTTCCTTTCTTACCTTTAAAAAGGGAAACCCAGAAGTTGCCCATACATATTAGAAGTGAGAAAACGTCTCCTGATTCTTTAGCTTGGGAATAATGTGTAATGATAGTTTTGCTATCTGCTAAACACTGAAAACTGTCATGCAATCTACTAATAATGACTAATTATTGTGTAATAATTTATTTACTGTTCAGCTGCACTATTTTGCTAATTTGTGGTCTCTACATCTCTTACATTTGTCTTTTGTCTTAGAATAGAAATTTTCTGGAGCATGAATCATCTCCATAAGATTAGTTTAACACTTAATCCCCTTGGACTCCCTTGAGTCAGTGTCTCTCAAGTAATAATTATCCTGATCCTGCTCTTGTTAATGCAGTGTGAAGAAAATGGCAAAATGGAGTCTGTGCATGAGAAATGAGAGGACAGAAGGAAAAAGAAAGTTAGGGATTGATGGCTAAAACTTTCATAAACACAGCAATCCCAGTTTTGTACGTGCCTTATTGTGTATTTTGGTGGTGTAGAGTTCGAGGTAAATACTAAGTATTTTACATTGGTTGTTTTGACATGGATAGACAAAATGAAGGAAAACAAGGAGATGTGTGGAAGGAAAGAACCCCTGGCTGCTCTTTGCATCTGGTTCTTAACTACAGGTTTTCCTTTCTTTAGACAATTTTTCAGTGTTTTTCATCTGGTAAGATGAACCAGACATTTTGCAGACAAAGAGATTGAAGCATACAAAATGGCTTGCACAATTTACCATGGCCAGAGCTAAGACTAGATCCCAGGCGCTCAAACGTGGTGCGTATCCCTAGTCCCTACGCCTGCCTGCGCCGCCCCTCTTACCCCTGCACAGGCATCCTTTGCAGAGCAGATGTGGGAGGGGAACGGGTGACAGGATGGCAGATCTAACAACCCAGGAGTGGCATGAAGATCTTCAAGGCAGGGGTCAGAGACTTGCTTTTGATGTATTGGAAAGTGTTAGGTGAGGGGTACAAAGGTGATGAGATGAATCGGGAAACGTCCTGGTTAAAATAGCCTTGGTGTAAGATGCCAGGCAGGATTTATGGCCAGAGAGGAAGCAGTTTACAACAGTGTAGGTAAGATTTGGGGTAGGTTTTTGGACTGCAGCCTCATTATCTTGAATAGAGAAATACTTACTCATCTCTGAAATGTGAACTTGACTATGCACTCCTGGTGGGGATGTGGTTTAGAATGAATGGTGAACTCCAATTGTTTCATTTTTGTATTTGGTGTCAAAATTAAGAGGTGTGTACGCTTTGAGCGCTGAATTTCAGGTACTGAGCAGGAAAGTCAGCCTGAGGTGGGCTTATGTCCCTTTCAGTGTCTTGAGCTCGTTTTGAGTGAGTTATAAAGCATATTTTTGAAGTTTTCTCTATATGTTTTCTGGAGCAGATTTTATATATGCTTGTAGCACTGTTTAGTTGCATTTGGCTGCAGTCCTAGCGTTGCCAGGCTGAACTGCATACCTCTATCCATAGGTTGAACCAAACACTCAGTGCTTTAATCCCCTCTCCATCTCCTGAGCTACTCCAGGCAGACTTGCAGAAGAGTGAAGCAAGAATCGTGGCATTTCTTAGAAAAAGACTGTTTTCCAGGCAATCGTTTTTTTGGCGATGAGCTAACAACAGTTGAATTGAGATAATTTTGGTTTTTAACTTAACTTCCTCTGCATAATGAAAAATCCATACTGAGGGAGATGTCATAATGCATTGTAGATAAGAGGCACGTAGTAAAATTAATCTGCCTAAGATTCACTAGGGTTTTAGTAGGATTTTAATTCCTGTGAAGGAGATTAAAGTTGATCAAGTGAGTTTGGTATGGCGGTGGTTATTGGGACACAAGTTGTGCATTGAGCACATCCTATCATCGCCTGGCTGCAGGGGGGCTTATGGAGTTATCTTATGATGTAAGGTTAGGTGTCATTTTTAGTGTAGAGAAGAGTACTGCATGGGATAATCTTGAAGAGAAAGTACTAAAATTTGCTTTAAATATTCATGTAGATGTCCGTAGACTTACTGGGTCCATCACATGTGGCTGAGGGGGTGGGAGAGAGGCTTTTGTTCTGGATGATAATAGGGAACTTGGTGAACAGGTTGAATAGCCAACGTTGAAAGCAAGGATCTGAGCGTTAGAGGAGGTCCTGGGCAGTTATGCTGTCTTACTGGGTGACTGATGGATACTGAAATGCTACTGAGCATGTTTCTTCCTGTTTACCTGAGTACTAGGCATGATGGGGTTCAAGACATTAATAGCCCTCTATGGATAGAACACAAATGCAAAGCATTTTATCTCAAGTGCTAAAGCTTGTGTGTGGATATACATAGGGGTTGGTTATGTCTCAAAGCTACAGTTTTTGTGACCTTTACAGTTAGTTTTTAATTAAATATAGCAACTTGTGCAGGATGTGTGTCTGTATTTAAATACGTATTTATTTATCATTCATGCCGTTTCAAAAATCAATATATTAGTGCTAGGAAAGCTATAGAGAATACAGCCAGAATAATCAAGAGTCTATTTTAGGACCCTTCTAAACTAAGGAGAGAGAACTGATGGGTATATGTATGATACTGGCCTATAAAAGTCATAAAATAAACAGAAAAAGGGAATAGGAAATGGTTGTTTGTGGCTTCTTATACGAAAATTGGGACCATCCAATGAAATGGCAAGGTTGGATTTTAAACAGGCGCAAGGGAGTTTTTTGTACATAACTGTGAAACTTTTGTACCACAACTGTGTTACAGAGGTTAAATAGTTTCAAACACTGGGGTGCTGAGGGTGCATCCAATTGTAGCTGCCAGAAATAAATGTGTGGGTACGTTTCTAGTGCAGGAATGACTGTCAAAGGCCGGGCAGGTCCACCCCAGCAAGCTGCGCTGTGTGCGCCATATTTCTCGGCTTTTATGTCTCGCCCCCAGTATCTGCTACTGGTCTTCGTTGGAGGTGGCGTCCTGGTCTAAGTGTTCTGGCCATGTATGGGCAGTCCATATGTTGCTAAATTGCTTCCCTACATGTCTTAGGAGGAAGCGTTTAGGGTAAAGTTCCAGCAACTTAAAGCAATTTAACATTTTGTTGGTCAGGGAACTTTCCCAGATTATAATGCCTCTCAGCTGTATTCCTCAAGTATATGTAGGAGATTCATGTGCATTAGATTTTTGGTTAGATGGGTTAAAAGTTAATTTGTTGATAACAAAATGTTTATACTGCATACTTCCTTCATTAGAAATTATTTGCTGGAATACAAATGGTAATTGCTGATGTCTGATTGCTACTGTCAGGACGCTTAGAGGCAGAATGCCAAAAAGATTTCTTATCAGCCTAATGGTGTTTAAGGTGTGTAGTTAATCTGGAAGAGAACATTTATCTTCATGTTTGCAAATCATTGAGGACTAAATACTTTTCTGATCTAGATTTTCTGCAAGTACGTTTAGTTTAACTGTAAGGTGAATAACAATCTGGGGGAACTTTTCAGTAAGAGCAGTGGGTTCATGTAGCTTCATTAGTTTTAAGATGGAGCTGATTGGTTTATACAATATATAATTACTCTAGAATATGATATGCCTGTGAGAGTAAGAGAGGGCATGTGAAAGGTCAGCCTTATTTACTCTGTTTCTGTGATTTGTTTGCTTGTTTTATCTGCAAAAGATTTAAGCCCAGACACACATTTAGAAGGAATACGGGAATCCAGAATGGGAACCACACTTTGGAAAGCAGGTTTCTGTACCAACTATTTGAGTCTGAGCTTCCAATGGGATGCTTTTATCAAAATGGTTATGCAGTGTTTGCATTCATAAGCAGAAGAATGTCAAGTAGGAAAAACAGTAATATTTTTGCAGAGGAGACGTAAATATGTATTTGTTTTGTTGAACAAAGAAAGTAAACAAAAAACCCTAAAATTCTCTATTAAGCTTGTAGCTTTTCTAACTGAAATTATTTGTCAGATTTAATTGCTAAGGCTGAAATATGTAATATTTCAATTTTACAGCATCTTTCTGCAAAAGATTCCTTGCAGCCATCTGAAGAGAAAGTGGGTGCTTTCACAAGGATAATAGAAGCAATGGGTTTTACAGGACCGCTGAAGTATAGCAGATGGGTAAAGCATTCATTTAATTATTCTTTTGCTTGTTTGATACTTTCAGAGTTCTAAAAAGCAAACAAACAACACCTCACTTTTTTTTTTCTCATGTTAAGAGTATTACTTAATGGAAAAGTTCTAATTATTACCCATGTAAATTCCTATTTTGTGATGTGAAGAATAATAATCCACAGCTTGAACCTTGCTTGATCTATGCATTGCCATCATTGACTTAAGTAGGAATATTGTATTTGGTTTGTAGAGTCTTAAGCCTTCCTGAATTTCTTCAGATATCTTCTTTTTCACTTCATTTGTGCACCAAAGAACACAATAACAGCCATACTGTGTAATCCAAACACTCACATAGACCATCATCTTGTCTCTAATAATAACCAATTGCAGTTATCTATAAAGAATTTAGTTACAGGAAAAGCATATTATGATACTTGTCTTACGTACTCCTCCAGCCTACAACAGTCTGTTTCAGGACTTCTGCATGGAACCACACATTTTTCTGTAATAGCTGTTGATGGATTTTTTTCTATAAATTTGTCCAGTTGTACTTTGAACTCTTGTAAGTTTATAGCATCCATAGCATTCAATATGAGGGAGTTCCACAGCTGAAGTAGCCACTGGGGGGAAAAAGTACAGTTGTTTTCAGTTGGTGCCTTTAAATTTTGTACTTTAAAAAAAATGGTGACTATTCTTTCCTTAGAGTGTATGTTCACATTCTGCCTTCCACTGATGATTTTATAGACTCATATATTCTGTAATATGTTAGTCTTTCTCTGGACTGAGGAGACTTGGTCTAACTCGTTTCTGTCATTGAGGTTCTTTCATGTTTTGATTTTTCTTGCTTTCTCTGAACCTCTCTGTGTTCTGTATTTCTGTGACAGGAGGGTCTCCCAAATGGACAATAGTGAGATATGTTATGATTGCTGTTCGGTAATAGCTCACTAGGGCAGAGTCACAAACAGGTCCTCCTCTGTCGCATTTTTTAAATAGTCCTTTCATAAGGCAGTTGTTAATATTGATTAAATGAGAGCAGTTCTGTAAGAGACACCTTCAGTTCCTTATGCAGAAGGAAAAGGACAGAGATGAAATTAGTAATTTTGCTCTGAACTGACACAGTATAAAGGAGTGAGAGGAAAAGGCAGCTTGAAGGAAGGGCTGAGCCCAACCGTGCAGGAAATAAACCTATAGGGTGCTTTGAATATCTGCAGGGCAGAGTGCACCTATTCCCAGACTGATCTGAAACTGTTGCCGATTGCATCTTGCTCCTTAGAAAGAAAATACAAAGAAAAGATAACTGGCACGTAAGGGGGTTAGGTATTTTGGTTAAAATCAGTTGCTTTTAATCAGGTGATGCTAAACCTTGTGAGAGAGTAGTTTCTCTCCCGTGTGCTTGTGTACATATTGTTGTAATAAAGATTCTCGTTAGCTCTAAGTGTTGATTCAGAGTTCTCCTTAATTGCTACTCTTTACTGCCTGCTTTTGGCTGGGGAGCTTGGGTTTGGAGAGAGTTATTTTGTGGTTAGGGCCCAAGAGACCCAACTTCATTTTTGGACTTGCCAGTGCTCTTGGTGAGATCTCAGGGAAATTTCTTAATATTTCTCTTCTTTTGTTCCATTTTCTTCTCATTTCCCCCACACCACTTCTACACCCTAAAACTTCCATGATTAAATTTCACCAGTTTCTCAAGTGTTACCTGCCTTATTTAAGGGCTGGATTGCAGGGACTGTTCTTTACAATATGTTTTTAATGTCTAGTAATGCCTGGTCTGGGGCAATGGCTTTCACCGGGGAGATCTCTACTCCCAGGCCAGGCAGCATTTTCTTTAAAAAGGAAACCTTCAGAACTCCAGTAAGCAGTGTGAAGTATTTTACTGCAAGAAGTTTAGATGTATACTTGATTTTTGACAGAAGCTTGAGATTATTGAATAAGAGAAATAATGGCTCTTGTGTTTCCACAGCAGGTCAGTTGAAACTTCCTTATTTTTCTTTTGGTTGGAGGAGACACAAATACTTCTGTAATTTGAAGTGCTGTTTGACAGGCATAGTGCTTATCTCTAGTATAGTGAGCACTGAGATGATCCCTAGTGTATGTCAATAAAAAATAAAAACCCCAAAAGATAAAAAGCCAAAACAAAACAACCAAAACTCAATGCTACTTCCTGGCTTAGGTAGGGGAGTGGGCTCTGGAGTTTTCAAATGTTTTAATTTTTTTCCCCTTGATGTTAGCAAACAGGAATGGCTGACAGCTCTTCTATTTAAGGTCTTTGCTATCAGTTATTGTGCTCTTTGAAGCTTCAGCACATGTATCTTTGTTATAGATTTGTTTCTGATGTGTTTCTGATGTGTTGTTATAGATTGTTGTTATAGATTTGTTATAGATGTGTTTCTGGTGCAGTGGCAGGCCAAGAACAAAATTAGAGGTGCCAAAGCACCTGAGTATACCTCATGTCATTCATCATTTGGGATTCCTTTCTCACTTGTGAAGCTTAGTTGGTCAATTTTCATTTTTGTAGGAAAAAAAGTTATTTTTAGGACACGTCTGGAATGTCACTTCTTTAATACTTAAATTATACAAAATGCTTTGAGTGGTATACATCAATTAAAGTTATTGGAGGAAACCAGGAACTGTAAATTTGGATCTTTGGAGTATCTGTAAGGAAATCCATTTCATTTCTTTTTCTGTAATGACAGTCTTATAGGAAACTAGATTTGGAAGGGTATTTAAGAAGCCATTTAATAATTTTTTTGTCTCAAGTCACGATTGATTATATTCGTGTCATTCCTGGAAGATGTAATAGTTTAATGTGCTCCTGAAAGTCATAAGTGATTGTGATTCTCAAAATAAGTCTTTTCAGAAAATGATAGTGTATGTATTTAGCAAAAACAGTAGTGTTCACTTGCTCTCATGATGAGTATTTTAAGTATTGTCTTTTCTTTTTCTTTAGAAAATTAAGGTAGCGGCTTTGCGCATGTACACATGCTGTGTGGAGAAAACTGACTACGAGGAATTTTTTAACAGTAAGTACTGGACTTGATGGTGTCTGGACTACTGCCCCAATGAGAGAACTTCTGATGAAAATTCAGTAGATATATTTATACCAATAAATATGACAGCAAAAAGACTTGTCAGACCCTAACAGTGCATGGTCAACTAGAAGCTGACTGGACTACTGCATTCCCTTAAGCTCTGAAGTGGCAAGGGTTCAAGGGCAGACTGGAGTCTGGGATTGTTGGGTTTTGCAGCAGAGAACAAGGACAAGGATGGAATAGGTAAAATGCAGAATATCCTGGACTTTGAAGGATATTGCCTTTTTTATTACCAGGGGTGGGATAAACTAAGAATCTCTTCCTTTTTACTGTGGTCACATGGTTGTGAGAAGGTCCACTATAACTGGGATGCAGGTATGAGAACCATCCTCATCCACTGATGCACAACATTTTTATGATACAGGGTCAGTTAGATCACATACCTGTCTCTTCCTCATGGCTGGGGCAGGTTTGGCTAGAACTTAGAGGCTTTATATGTTTTACTGACCGTGACAGCATTAAGCCAGGACGCATCTCTTGACTGAGTAGAGAGTATGACTAGAACAAAAGACACAAGTCCCTCCCTTAAGTGTATGGGAATAATATTGGCTTGAATTGGGATGGCTTTTCCATGTTGGTCACAGTTTTTTAGCTATTAGCGAAAAAATCTGTTACTGCTTTTATTAGTATCAAATCTGGCTGGTGAATGGGGAAGATGTGTTTTTGAGACTTATGTAAGCTTCAATAATATTTCATTTTTATGTGAATTATTTCATACATCAGTGTGATTTAGCTGGTAGTAAACCCGTTGCCTGCATCTGGCCTGTCGCCTGAATTCCCAAGCTACCAAATGCTTTCTTATGGCTTTACAATGCACCAGCACAGGTTGGAGCTGCTGCCGCCGCCTCTTGAGAGATCAGCTGAAGGGACATCTTTGTGTGTTCATCTAGTGCAGAGCTTATTGAGGTTGGTTTGGTACATGGTGTTGCTGCTGCAAGATTTTCCAATGGTTTTCAGAAGGTTTTTCCAAAACTGTGATGTGGTTTCAGTGGTTGCAGGAGTGAGAGAACTCTCTGAGCAGCAGGATTCATCATTAGTGATTAAAAAATTAGAACCTCATTTTTCCTGTGCACACACCTCTCCCCAGCTGTGTGCCCTCTCAGGCTTTCTCAGTTAAGTTCTCTTCTGTTTGTCATATTTGCCTCTCAAATAGAGGCTTTGCTATTTTTAATACTATCTCTGCTTAACAGGTTAGTTGTACAAAGATACATGAACGTTGCCCTAGATTCAAATTTAAAGGAATTTCAAAACATGTCTGTTCAACTGGCACAGATTTTCAGGCTCAATGCTGAGTAAAATGATTTCAATTGTATTCTTGATATTGTCTTATGGTTTTAAAGAGAAAATTCCCAGAGCTCCCCCTCACTTTAAACGTATCACAAACAGCAGGCAGCCTTTCCTTCAAGTCTCACCATTTTCTCCAGAATGTCCTTATTTCTCTGTTTGTCTTTTTGCTTGCTAGTACAAGTTGTAGCCAGTCCATCTCTGAATTTACACCCAGGGAAACCTCTGTTAGCATTGACCTGAGACTGTTGTTACATAAGGAACAGGATAGTTTGTTTTGCTGAGATTGACAGAGTGCATGCTGCACCCATTGGTGTTATAAGAACACCTGTGCTGTTGGGGTCTATGGTTGTGGTTCCAAAGAAATCATTGCTTTCATATAAAAACAGATATAAGAAGTTTCTATTACTTCTGTCTACTTACAGTGCAGCTGTTTGGGGGATTAGCTCTAAAATTTACCAGGCATGTGATCCATGTTTGAAAAATGGTTCCCCTAAAACACAGGCTGGGTGAGTGGGCAGGAACCTTTTAAATTGATTTTGCCAGTGAAGAAGTTGTAGGCTTTGGTTCCATGCGCACCTGAGACGAAGCAGTGGCCAAAGGAAAAAGACTCACTTCCTCATCTTCCTCTGCCTGTGTTCTAGACTAGACAATTATCCTGTCCTCCAGTGAACTGCTTAGGTCACTGAAAGAAAATGGCCTGTTTTCTTTATTAACTTGCTGTTTTGCTGTGTTAGTGGATTAAAGCAGCACGTGGAGGGGTCTGATGGGCAGCAGCTGTGGCATAAAGTAGGTAGTGAGGAGGACACGATTAAGAGAAGGGAATGAGGTGTGAAGCAAGATGTGCAATTTTCAGGTCCATTCACCATATCTTCATCAAACTGGGTCAGTCAGGAGCTGTTTTTTTCTGTTCCAAATTGCTCTCTTTTTGAATAAAGATGGGTGTCATTTAAGCCAGGACTGCAGCTCGCTCCCAGAAGAGGAACCTGGGGGACTCATAGGAACAGGGAGCAACTCACTCTTAACTCTTT